CATATTCGAATTCGACCGATTAGATATTTGAATTATCTGAATTCGATTCGATTATGTCCAATCTCGGATTTGAAATCATATTTTCGAATATCATTGACACCCCTACTTATAGCGGTAAAGAATAAATAAATAAAATTTAGGGCTGCAAGCAATGCACTAAATCACTTCAATCAGGTAGGAAACTATGGGTATTCTCCATCCACGGGATAAAAGCTGAGAAGAGAATTTGGGTCGTGGGCATAAATAACTTCAATCAGGTAGGCAATAATTCAGCACCCAAACTTTCAAAATGTGTCAATCCAGTACCTATCATTAACCAATCTGTTAACTAATCGTTAAGTGACATTTGGAAAGATAAAAATGTCCTTTAAATGTCATCTAATTTTCTTTATCAACCATCTACATATTGATAAAAAATGAACAGTCTCAAATCCTTTCCTCTTATATTTAAGAAAGTTGTAATTACGTTATATTAATGAAAGACATGATCTCTCGTGGATTAGACCGAAACGATACCCTATACAAAATAATCACGAAAACGAACATCAGCCTCGTGTATAGAAGTATATATCATATTGTAGCCGTAGATTCTACAGCTTGGACCATTATAGTAGACCCCACAAACATTAATTAAAGAGAAAACAATAACTGGTAAAATACATTAATTAATTAGTGAACAATAACCATTAAAGCAGATTAATTGATTAGTGAAACACTTTCATCAATTAGTGAACACTACGTAATCGGTCATTGGAGAGGTGAAAAGAACAACAAAACGGTAAAACACATTAATCAGGTTATGTTTGGTGTCATTGGCACTTATTGCAACTTTTTATGTTGGTCAATACAAAATTTTGAGAAATTGTTTTGTCACATCACACTAAATAATTATTTTTACTTTAAAAAAATGTAGGCATTGAATTAGGTGTTGGCATTTATAATAGAAATACCAAATTTAATATTTCATAGAGAAACAATAATGGCACCAAATATTGTATTGATAACTCAAAGCATTTGTGGTGGAAAACACATATTCTCATAAAATTTGTATTGATCAACATAAAATGTTGCAAGTAAAAATAGCAATGGTATCAAATACAACCTTAATTAGTGAATAGGGGTGAGCATTTGATTTATTCGGCTAAACACTGAACTGAATAAATCAAAATTTTAAAAACTGAACTAAAAAATTAAAACTTAACTGAAACCGAATTATAGAAAAACCAAAATAACCAAAACCGAAATTTTCAGTTAGTTTAATTAAAACCGAATTTTAATAATACATACTTTATTATATATATTATATATTATGAAATCAAAAACCAAAAAGAAAGTTTGGTTAATTCGATTAATCGAATTTCTAATTCTAAAAACTGAAACCGAAAGCCGAATTAACCAAACCGATTTAACCAAAAACCAAAAAGACCAAACCAAACAAACCAAAACTGAAATTTTCAATTTTAACCGAATAATACTCACCCCTATTAGTGAATCATAACATTTCTGACCCATTTACCCATAGATAATCCGACCCGATAACCCATAGATGGGTCTCCTTATTGGCCCCATATACGTTATTTGTCATTCGAATGACAATAACATAACAGGGCCTCTGGCATGATTTAGGAGGATTGGCTATTCATTCAGCTTGTAAACAGCCGAAAGACCATGCAAAAAGACACACCAATCACGACCTAATTAAAACTAATATTATTTGAATTAGTGTGTAAAAAATAGAGTTAAAGATGGAAGGACATACCTGGTTCATTATTTTCACAGCTTGTGAGAGGCGTTTGAGTGGTGGGTTGTCATTTGCCTCTATCCAAAATCTTGAAATTAAACAGAAAAATCTAAGATAGTACTGAACAAGAGTGATCAAGAAAAAGGGATAGTCTCTGTAACAGGCTTCTTAAAAAAATATGGAACTGTGTTAACTAATGGGTAGTTTGTAACTCAAAAACGTTGTGTAGTGTGCGAAACAATTCTTGAGGAGAATTAATGATAAGGGTCTAGATTGTGCCCTAGAAATTTAGGTTGCCCACCCACCACCTATCATTAATCTAACTCGTAATCGTGCCCAAAAAACTTAGATCGCAAGGTCTGGAGTTGTTGAAATAGAGTGCAGGATTACTCTATTTTTAGAAGTAAAATAAAAGAGAAGAATGATTGTCAATTGGCTGTTGCTCGAAGTAAATCTTAGATGAAAACAATGATGCAAAAACTATCATCTCCACCTTTTGGATTATTCTATTTTTATTCTCCTAAGAAAACTCCACAGCACCATAGCCATTGAAAAAAAAAAGTAAGGACACAAGGATTAAGGATTTGTAAGGTGGGGAGATGAAGTTAAAAACTGTGAATGAGATGCTTTGAATCCAAACTTGAAGATGTGAAAGGCATGTCTTTGTCACTCATTTAATTACAATAGAATGGATGGACTATGGAGACGTGGTGAGTCATTTTCTCCAAAAATTACTCAAACAAAAGAAATACAATCCAACCTGATGAGGGCAGATTTGGCCCTCCAGTGAAATTGCGACACGTGGCACCTCGTGACAACTAGGCAAGCACTCAGGCAACAACTTACCAAGTTGGTGTCCCCCCGGGCAC